CATGGCCAAGCGAGGCTTGAATTCTTGGGGTCGGCTTTCGCAAAGGAATTCCGTCGTCAAGTGGTTAACCTCATTAATTAAGGCATTCATCATTAATAGATACATTGGTACAAACACAAAAGAAGTGCGCAGCTGAGTCTCAAACATTCAAAGATCTTGCTTTTCGAATTTTAAACATAAAGAAGAATGAGAGTCAAGGTCTGATGACTTAACCCTCCCCCCACCAAGGGCAGGACTGTCGCTTTCCTTTTACCTTTGATAGTAAAGATAAGATTACCACCCTTTGAAAGGATGCCATGATCAAATCTTTTATCTAAAAAACATAATGTTTGTGTGCAGCTATAAAACCTTGGTGGTTCACCACATTTCAGATTAGAACATCCTGTTTAATTTGCAGGTACTGCATTTACTGTGGAATGGAATGGTGTTCATGTGCAACATAATATTGAAGGTACTTGTAACCCACTTTATCCTTTCTTTTTAAGAAGTAAGCCTGGTTTCCATATCGATGTAAATAGATGCAAAGTGCATTGCTGATCAGTCCCTGATGATATGCATGGATAATGGAAACACTTCATTCTTGACTAACTCAAAACATCTTGTAGTGTCAAGAAAGTTGGATCAGGTTTAATATTGTCAACTGTCTGTACTTTTAGTCACTAGAGAAGGCCTATACAAACACCCATGTTGGCATGATAGGCATACAGTGATGTCTTAGTAGTGATAGCTTAGTACCACTCATTTTGCCCATTAAATGGGTATCAGTTTGACTTCAAGACGAAGTATTGCTTCCTTAAAAAAGCATTTTTATGAGAAAATCTCCAAGTTTGGAATGTCATTTTGTTTCATTTTTGGTGTAATAATGTCACTCAATGCCTCTGCTGCGATTTTTACGACAATATGGAAACTAGGCTTTACATTTCAGGGGTCAACAAGCAATAGTGAAAAGAAAAAGAAAAACAATTTGTATACCACACCTTCATTTGATTGTTGCTGTTACTGATGCATTTTTCTATTCTTAATATTCTCATGCTTGGACCTGTGTACATACATGTATGCATGTACATGTAAACTGTGTATCCAGAAATAAACCATGTCCTATTGATCTTACCATACCTCATGTACTACCATGTATTTATATGCATATAGCGTAGCTAGGGTGATGTTTGCACATGTGCATAGCACTACTTACCTACAGACATAAATGTTTAGACTGTCAGATTGCATTCAAACTGAAGTGTGATGTCATTTGAACCAGGAAGTGAAGTGCAAATGAATGAAATACATTCCGAATGTATGTACATGTTGGTTCACACACTGATTTTGAACTAATGCCTTTTACATACGTAATTGTGCATGTGACGTATTCACTTTGGTATGCTATTGGGAATTTATATAAAGTTGAAGAATTCCAGCCATGAAATTCTATAAAACTATTTTCAATCATTAAAATCGTCTATGTACTAATGGCAGTACAGCAGCAGTACATGCAATGTAAGTGGGTTATGCCACATATGCATTAAACGTGAGCCTATGTGAAGCCACACGTTGCTTTGGCCATACTTTTCAAAATCATGGTTTCATGCAAAAGACTGGCAGTCTGTATTTACATGACTGTGGTACTATCCCACACAACCATTGCTAGGTGAAATGCATGTGTTGTAAACTGTCATTCAGTTAAGAGTAATACCAGCTATAGATTTTTGCTGCTCACGTGTTCATCTTGAGTGTGGACGTTTGCATGCATGTCTGATAAATGACAGAAATAACAACTGGAGGATACAGTTAAGCCCAAAAGTTATTCCTACCCTTTGAAAAATACGGCAGTTTGTTATTTTGTTAGAACATTTGAACTGGACTGATGGTCCAAACCAGGCACACAAAAACTAGTATTTCCTTTGCAAAAGCTCATTCAGGCAAAGATTTCAGCTTTTGGTTGTCAATTCTATGGTCTTTTGGTTGTAAATTCTATGTTACCTGAATTTGGAATGGATATGAATAATTTGGAGCTTAAATATAACAGTGGAAGGACCACAGAGAACTTTGCTCTCATTCATGAATATGTATGAGGTATGGTTATAATAGAAAGATCTACATGTACCCTATAAAACATCTTCTCTTATGGTGAAGCAAACAACTGAGCTACATACATGTAACCACAGCTACATTTCTGTTCATTGCACTTCTGTAAAATTAAGAAATGGATAAGATTCAAAGAATTTGATTTGGTAATAAAGTATCATTTTAAGGGCAATGTCATCCAAAGTTTCAATAAACAGAGACAGTGCAAGATCATTCGCATGCTGCACCTACATGTATGTGTACATGTTTGTTTTGGTTTGTTTTTTGGGGGGTTTTGGTTTCATTAAGCTGAATGCACATTCTTTTATCATGAAGTCCAAAATGTTTTTGAATTCATAGAAGTACATGTATTTCCACATGTGCATTTTGTCATTGCATTGCCCTCAACCTATTCCATGAGATAATACTGCATACTAAAAAGTGTGGGAGCAGCGAGTGTTCTGTTTAGCTGCCGTTGTACTACCCTCCCATCCTACCCCTTACCTTCCCATCACCATTTTCCTGCTTTGTTTAAACCTCAGGAGAAAAGGGAGTTGTTCATATTCATTAGCATTTTTTTGTACTTGTAATAGTGAGCAAACCAGTCTTGTCTTTCTTATGGGATGTTGTGACCAAAAATACATACATGTACAGTGTACGGTATGTCTGGCACTTCTGTCTTAGAAATTGTCAACATTTTACATGCGCATGTAATATATTTTAATAGTATTAATGATTAACAAGTTAGTTTAGTTTCAAGAAAACTTGTTAGGATATTCCTTTTGTTGGAAGTGTGATGAAAAGCAATGGTATTTTGTTGATGTAACTGCTACTGCTCATCACCTCTGCATTTTCACTGCATGTACATGTATTTCAGTTATATTTGGCAGTTGCTTGATAAACTGGCAAAAATAATAAAGTTGCTCTTAATAAATACTCCCATACCCTTATTTTTATTTCATGTTGCTAACCATTCATTTGTTGCCTTGTCTAACATTGCTTGTATCATGCAGCGGGGAGTTTTACTTTTCAAACCACCCTCATGAAAGATGGACGTATTATATTCGCCTATAAACATGTAAGTTACTCATTAATGACCACATAATTACAATGTACATTGTTTTCGATGTTTCATGTAGTCTGCTATGTACATAAATTCATGCCCTGGCCCGTTAATAATGGCTAGGAAGTTGTTCAACAGGATATGTGCCACCCATCTAAACTACATGTACATGTATGTTGCTCTTATCGACTGTGTTTTGGAGTTGCTAAAGTCAACTCACCCCATGCATTTTGCTGCAGTTGGGCAAAGATGTTTGACCAGACTTCAAACGTTTCCTATGATAAGCTGTGTAGGCTAGCATGCCCACTTCCTCAAGTTTAGAATCAACACACAGTATATTCAAAGAAAGAATATATTTCTTTGTCATTGGTGAATCTGCTGAGAATGAAGAGAGCCAAACTTTTCTCATCATTTTCTGTCAAATTTGTGCTCTTTTTTCATGGCTTATTTTTTTAAAGTTATTTCTTAGGTGCTTTAAAATATATCAGTTGAAAAATATACCGAATTGTCCTTGTTGTTGAGAGAGGTTTTGAAATCAAGTCCTCTGGTGCAAATACTTTGACGTAAACTTCAAATGAATTCAACTCCATTGGATTTGCACAGGTAACCAACCAAATGTCCACCAAATGTACACAGTATGCCTAATTATCCCCATATAATCATTTTATAAATCTGAAGGTGCTTCTTTGTATTTTACACGATCAAAGTCACTCTTTTAGAAGTTTTGAAAAATGACATGCGGAGTTGCATTGTGGTCCATTTTATGAAGAACACGCTATATAAATGTATTTAGGTGAGGATAGTGATGCTGTCAGATTGATGTCAGTATTATCAGATTTAGTTGATAGCAGCTCAAATTGGATTGAAAGTTAATTTTGACAAACTTGTCAGAGAAGTAATTCCTCTATACACTTTGACAAAACAGAGCCTGTACTGGAATAATATCTTCCATGCCCCTTACTGTTTTTGTTAATTGGTAAGATGTACCCCCTTCGACCAGAAGCACCCCTCATCGGTTGAAAAGAGACATGTTGGTCGGGGGTGCTCATTTTATTGGTAGCGATGCCACCGTGACTCATGCATTTCCTAGTCATTCATGAACCAGCAAAGTTCAGTTCCCATTAAAGGAGCCTCCGTTGCTAAGAAAATAGCACCGTCTCTTGATCCAGCTGGAGGCCATGTGCTTGTTTCATATAGTTCTGAGAAATCAGTTATATTCACTAGCAAGCCTTTAACAAAACAGAAACATTTTGTACTTTTTAGGCCTCACAGTGCTGAAATATGCAACAATATGTCAATTCCCATTGTCAGTTTTTGTTGACATTTCCCTGGATTGGAGACCGCTGCTACCCTGCAGTCATGCTGGTAGCAGCAGGGCCTGTAAGTTTCATGAAACTTCACATAACCTAACATCATGCAGCAGCTCAACACTACACATTTGTGTCATTAAAGCAACACACTTGTGATGAATTGATTTCATGAAAAATTGTATAGCTGTACAGTGACAGAAATTAGTTGATGTACCTTGGATAAGTTGCCCCATAAATCACAACTGTTACATGTATGACGACTGCCCCCTTGTAATTTTGCAAGGCATTAAATAGTCATGAATTTGCCCCCTTGTAATTTTGCAAGGCATTAAATAGTCATGAATTTGCTCTGCCTGCCATTTTGAAAAAGTGTCCATCTTTTTTTTTTTTTTGGAACCAAGCAAAAAAATGAAGCTCTTACAGCTAAACAATTACTTCCTCTGAAGACAAAGCTGTAAATTTCTCATATAAACCTTGCTAGGTTGAGCACTGAAGTACATGTACATGTACTTGGAACGTGATTTGGATTAAGTACTGAAACTATTAATTTCATACTTGTCTTTGTTTGGTACAACTTAATAATTGTGTCACATAAAATGACTGCTCAAAATACACCATAATTCATTTTACAATTTATGAACTCACACTGATCTAAACTTTGTTAAATGTGAAATAACTTGCTGCTCAAGTGGTGTTAGGATATTGCATTAAGATTTGTGAAGTTGACTGCAGGTCAGCCATGGGTATGATATGCATGTACATGGGTTGAGAGGTTCTGTGATGAGACATTGTGGTAGAGGGTTGCCAAGTTAAAGAATTAGGTGTAATTGTTGTTTAATGTTTGGTTTGTATCCATTAGATCCCTACCTCCCCACTGGCTATTGATGGAGGTAATGGCCACAAAGTAACAGTTGGAGTGTCTGATGGATTCTACATTGAAGGTACTCATGTTCCTTTTTTACCACAACCTGCTAATAGCAACTGGGTGACAAGTGTTACCTGCAGCTAAATGTTGTCTTCCATTCATAATGTGCAACCATTTCATTTCCATCTCAGCAATAAAGAAAATATCCATGACCCAAACATAAACTTACCACTCACAGACCTGTTATACTGAATTTTTTAAAAGCAAATCTGAGGGTCAGCGGCGTAGTGAGCGAGGGTTGTGGGGGAGGATGTTGCACCCCCCCAATAATTCTTTTCAGTCGTCAAATAAAGGGTTAGTTGGCAAATGTAATTGAAATTGACGTCAGTCGGCAAATTGACCCTGGCACACCCCCCCCAAAAAAATGCCTTCGCTAAGCCGCTGCTGAGGGTCCTATAGTTCTTATATCATGTTAGATTTAGAATACATGAACCGGCACATGTACATGCAAGTGGATTTATTTCCTGAACAATGAGGCAGAATCTCAGCTGTGGCTGTTCTTCAAGTAATGTCTGAATTTTGGTATTTAAAATGTATGGTGATAGGGAGCTGAAGACAGGATGTGGCTGTATGTTAAGCCGTGTTGGCATTGGACTTTTGAGGTAAAACTTACAGAGATTGTGCCAATTCGATAAGATCAAATGAAATGCGGACAGCTGGTAAACTGTCCTAATTGTCGAGTGTCGATTGTCAGTTGTTAGTTTTACCTTCCCTTTCGCGGAAGTTTTACAGGGCCAACGGGGTTGCAGAAGAATTACAATGTCAAATTTACATTGCAGAAAAGTCTGGTGGAGATGGCCAGTGTTATGTAAAAGTTACATTTTGATCACATGAAATCTGTTTGCAGGTCAATGGATCAAGATCTCTTTTTTTTTTCCTGCGCACACATCTGCACAGCTGGCGAACATGACCGTTCATAAACATGATATCGACGTCAGAAAGTGTGCTAAACACTGAGACCTACTTTGGCTGTTTATTAATTTGTAGCGTTAAGATGGAGAATGTCTGGGAAATGATTATGAGTCCCTTTTCAGTGGAGCTGGATGAACCCTCGTGTTTCACAGCTGTCAGATCAGCAACGGCAACGAGAACCACTCGATTGAAAGATTGAGATGCCGAGGCTATGAGAGGCTGTGACACACATCTGCACTGTGTATACACATATTACTGTAGGTATAAATTTGTGATTCAAAAATTTAATTGTCTTTGAACACTTAAATTCTAAGATTAAGATTTTTGTTTTTCACACAGATACAACAAACTTGGTACGTTACATCTACCGCTACCATGTGGTTGAGCTTGCCAAAGAGCTTGTGATAGACAAGAGTGCTTTTATCCTGACACCATTGCCAAGTAAGCTATGCACAAAACCAGAGACATGTTTCTCTCTTGAATTTTTGGCATGGATTATCATTTCTTCAATTGAACTCTCATCTGTGAAGGAGTGAAACTGACCTGAATGTAGCATGCAGTTGTAAATAGGGACTTTTAAATTTGTAAAGATTAAGTAGCTTATTTGATACAACATATGAAAGATATTTTGATTCCCTACAAACTTAATTTGTAAGGCATTCTTGCCAGTAGCCTTGGTCAAGGCGTTCGTCATTCGTTGCAGTGCAGAGAAGTGCGCACCAGCTGCTCACTGACCTAGTACTTAGCTGCGTACGCACGTACATACCTTCATACATTGCAAAATCAAGGTGAAGAGCAACCTCACCTGGCCTAAGAAATATGCAAATTAGCTGAACCAGGACAAATGCCTTGGTGCAAACGTCCAAGGAAGCTGTATTGAGTGGTGCTCATTATGCTAATGACAAACTCAGTAAAGCAAAGCAGAGCAAAGGCGAACTCGATCTCCGATTTCTCTGATTAGCTGGCAAAATGAATTTTGTTGACTTGTCATGTGCATGTATAGCCATGTGTGCACTCAGGTAACCTTTCCCCTTACAACCGACTTGAACTATGCAGTTACTATGTAGCAATGAACCAATCCAAAAGCGTATTTAAAACATCGGCTTTTGTAATTAGCATATTGAGCACCACCCAATACAGCTTCTGCAGACAGTTGCATGAAGGCATTCGTCCTGGTTCAGCTGATCTGCATATTTCTTAGGCCGCATGAGGTCACTCTTTGCCTTGATTTCGCATTGTTTGCAAGCGGGTATGCACGCAGGTACATACTAGGTCAGCAAACGACTGGTGTCAGCAAACGACTGGTGTCGGCAAACGACTGGTGTCAGCAAACGACTGGTGTCGGCAAATGACTGGTGTCGGCAAACGACTGGTGTCGGCAAACGACTGGTGTTAGCAAACGACTGGTGTCGGCAAATGACTGGTGTCAGCAAACAACTGGTGTTAGCAAACGACTGGTGTCGGCAAAGGACTGGTGCCGGCAAACGACTGGTGTCGGCAAATGAC